ATCTCCTATACCGATACCCTCATCACCTTGGCAGCACCTGACTATTCTATCCATGTACAACACAAACAGGGTAGGGGACAGGACGCAGCCTTGTCGAAGCCTATTTCCAGACTGAAAGGTTTCGGCCTAACGTCGTTTACTCTGACGCTGCACCCGCTACGAAAGTATAATGACTGAATGGCCCGTAGCAATTGGTCATCGGTCCAATATGCTGTCAAGTATGCCCATAGATTACTGCGCTGGATCTGGTCATGGACCGTGTCTAACTGCACAACGTATACGGCTAGTTATTCCCCGATCTTCTGAGTTGACTTTACCTAGGAGGCTCAATAAGGTAATGCCTCGACAATTGGAGCACTTTTTGCGGTCTTGATTATTCTTATCTTTAGTGATACTAAAACCCCCGTTTCCTGTCTACTGCTGTCTCTCCCGTAGCCATTGCAATTTGACACGCCTGTAAGCCAGCGCGAGCCTTGTCAAAACCTCCATACCTCAGAAGCAAGAATCTTCTCGACAGGCATATTATAGGAAGTTAAGCAGCCAACCGTCATAGACTAGACCTCTACTGACGCGATTGTCGCATTCATATACTTCCGCTTCATCATGTCGTTCAGCACTGACCAGACTTGTCAAAATACGCAGACCTCACAGAAGGGGTTAGCAGATAGGCCAGACCGAGAGTAGGCGTCGCGTATGCGACTGTAAGATTTGCTTTACTATGTGTTTGTGAATGTATCAAAAATTTTGAAGTATTTGGCCTTCGGTGCCTCCGTACTATATTGCGAATGCATCTCCTCGAAAAAGCGTTGGACTGAAAAGTTTGCAGTCTCTGAAATGTTGCGATATCTCAGCTGTCTTTCAAAAGCCCCCGCCACTCACGCAATGGCTTGGCCATATCAATGGCGATGTCTTGGAGAGTTTTTTTGAAACATTGCTCACTGTTTCCTGATTTGGATGAATTAGACCTGAACGGACACTGGGATACCTGACCTATGAGGGTGGATGGTGCCGCGTTTGTTGCTGGCGACTGAGAGACGCATGACCGTGGAACGAAACGTGATGTCATCGAAGCCGACTAAGCCAG